ACACACACACACACACACACACGAGAATATATTGATATATGAGGAAACAAAAAATATGAGAATATATACAGTATGAACGTGTAAAAATGTCATATTAGTGGTCCGCGGGATTTAACATTCTGAATTTATTGGTCCCTGAGGTCCGAAAGGTAGGCGACCTCTGCACTAAGTCACATCTCTTCTTTTGTGTACCACAAAGTTTTATAATTCCATTGGTAGGTACAAAAATCTTTATTATATTGCTTTTGAATCAAAAAGTACATGTATACATTAGTATTTTGCTTCCGGATATTTTGGGTATGTATAGAAGTACCAACATTTGAAGAACAAAATAAGAGGGAACGAGAGCAAATTCTCCCAGAAACATTGCCACTTCAGCATAGTGGTCAGATTAAACAGCAATACTCCAAATTGTGAATCTTAGTTAATAAAACACAAATAAAGGAAGAAAGACCCGAAGACAACAGAACTGTTCAAAGAACTACGGAACAAGCGTTTATTTTTGCGGCACAAATCAGCACAAACGCGGCACAAACAAATGGTGTGTTTGTTTTGATAATTCAGCAAGGTGGGGTGCAAAGTGGACGGGGTTTTAGCAACTATAACGCATAATATCTCCGAAACCAAAGTGGCACAAACGAATGGCGTCTTTGTTTTGATAATTCAGCAACATGGGGTGCAAAGTGGGCGGGGTTACAGCAACTATAACGCACAAGATCTCCGAAACCAAAGCGACAAACGTTTATTTTTGTGGCACAAACAAGCACAAAAGAATGGCGTCTTTGTTTTTAAAATACAGCAACATGGGGTGCAAAGTGGGCGGGGTTACAACAACTATAACGCACAATATCTCCGAAACCAAAGCGGCACAAATGTTTATTTTTGTGGTACAAAATGCGGCACAAACGAATGGCGTCTTTGTTTTTTAAATTCAGCAACATGGGGTGAAAAGTGGGCGGGGTTACAGCAACTATAACACACCGTATCTCCAAAACCAAAGCGGCACAAATGTTTATTTTTGCGGCACAAACGAATGGCGTCTTTGTTTTTAAAATTCAGCAACATGGGGTGCAAAGTGGGCGGGGCTTGCATTACATTGAATGTTTAATATCTCAGAAACCGAAGCGGCACAAACGCTGGTTTTTGCGGCACAAACGAATGGTATATTTTTATTCAGGTTTTACAAACATGGGGTGCCAACTTCACACAGCTGGTCAGAGCAACTTAAAAACTGCAGCTGTTGTGGGATGCTCCCAGCATTCAGCACCTACCAAATGTGGTCTAAGGAAGGAAAACTGTTATACCAGTGACAGGGTCATGGGTGGCCACGGCTTATTGATGCATGAGGGGAGCAAAGGCTGACTCGTGTATTCTGATCCAATAATAGAGCTACTGTAGCTCAAATTGCTGAAAAACTTAATGCTGGTTCTAATAAAAAAAAGGTGTCTGAACACATCAAAGTTTGTTGCATATGGGGCTGCGTAGACAGACCAGTCCGGATGATGACTCGTATCCACCGCCAAAATTGGTTATAATGGGTACAATACATTTTATAGTGTGTGTGAGATTTTTTTATATTTATATAATTCAAATGTAGTTACCGGCCTGGAGGGTATGCAATAGTATATTTGGTACCTGAAGGAGCACTTAATTCAAAAGAGTAGACTCGGAAAGGGTTTGGGTTTTCAGCAGTGTTTACTAGTGTTTACTATTGTATTTCTAGCTCTGCCTTTGAGCAACAGTCCTTTTTAAAGTTAGAAATTAATGTAATGTTAATAGCAGAAAGATGCTTTAGTAGCTGATAGGAAAGTATTTTAAAAAAAAAAGGATTTTACAAGACAAATATGTAGGCCACGATTGCCTACTTCCTTTTGAAAATGCAAGATGGTATACTCTCTACTACTCTTGAGTCTTTGCTCTGGAACAATTATACAGCAAGTTAAGTCACAACTGAAAAGTAAGTGAAAGTTATTAAGGGAAATGATCTGCATGATACCTAGCATTTAAAAAAAAAAAGTGGTAAGCAATGGCCACCTACATAGTTCCTCCTAAGACATTTCTTTAAAGCCTGTTAATTTACGATAATGCACTGAGCAGTTATAATTGGCAAAGTAAAATAATCCATGGTAAGCAATTAAATTTCACTTTAATGCTGACCCCTGAAACCTTGTTACCATGTCTTAGAAATTGCTTATGCCGAGAGGGTGAATACCTTTTTGTCATGCTTTTTAAGGCACGTTTAGTGGTTGATATTTATAGATAATTCCCTACGAGTCATCTTGACTAACGGTACAAATCGTATCCTCTCTTCAGGTGGCTGGCGAGCGTTATGTCTACAAATTTGTGTGTGAACCAGAAGCTCTGTTTTCTCTGGCTTTTCCTGACAATCAACGTCCTGCCTTGAAGTCCGAGTTTGACCGACAGATCAGCGAAGAAGACACTGTGCCTTTGTCACACATGGATGAAGGAGCGATTTATCTTCAGGACGTGGGTACCGTCCCTTCCCAAAATTACAAAGGTGGTTACAATTACTAGCCTTTGCCACCCTGTAATTGTGTATATATGGGTACATTTCTTTAGCATTCAAATGTGTAGATGCTTTTTTTTTTTTTTTTGTTTGTTTTTTTCTTGCAAGAACCTGTTTAACAATTTGGACTCTAGAAGGCTACCCGCTGTTAGTGTTTTAAAGACCCAGGTTGTATTTGGGCATTTGTAACATGGCCTTTTCAAGATGCACTCCTTGGCTGTGGTGCATTTGAGCATCAGGTTTTAGATTTCTCTTGACGCAGCTAAGCTTATGAATGGTTGATTGTTTCAGGGAATGCATGTTCTCCAGCATCAAGCATTGAAGACTTAATTATTTCCTTCAGACTTCATTTTAATTTTAATTTTTAAAGAAACCTTTTCAGTGGCATTTTTTTGTAGGGAAGGATTTTGTTGAGTTAATTTCAACAAAAAGTTCAGTGCAATAATCTTGGAATCTAACAATGCTATTATTTCCTGTCTTTTTGAAATTAAAACCATTTGAAGGACATTTGATTTTCCTGTGTTTTTTCTTTTTGGATATTTGTCTCTTGCTACTCATAATCTTTTGGGGCACGAGCACATGGGCAGATTTTAATTGTTTTAGTTCTGCTACTAAAATTGACAAATAAATTGCTAACACAGTTTGAGCTCATACAAACAGAAAAAAGCTGGCTGCACATCAGATTCCACTGGAATAGTTTATTAAAGCTTGTACCACATCACTGGTGTCCTTCCCAAGGTTCACCCCCTCTGACAAGTTTCACCCAATCAAGGGCTTGGTCACAGTCTCTAGCAGCTTTTCTTATGTTTGTATGGGCTCATATTGGAGCAAGGATGTGCTCCCAGCAGCAAGCCCCCTGCTCATACCTTCCTTGAGGAGTGGTGCTTATGTGTTCTTCTTTCTTGCATTAGGGGTTGAGCACTACATGGATGGAACAAACATTTTCCCTAAAATGTCAAATACAAAAGTGACAGATGAGCGCTGCGGTCAAAATATCCAAACAGTGCTTGCAGCTGATTGGCTGCAAGTACTCTTAGCCCTACAATTTTGAAACATGTTCAGTCGAAACAAAGTCAGTCGACTTTTGTTATGGGGATGGAGCCACCCACGAGTCGAATTTTCAATCCATGCGTACCCAGCTTGAAACTGGATTTGCATGAATATCTAGATTTAAATCCATAATCTGGATTAAGTGGAAAAATACCGATCACATAAATGCAGCTTTAAAAACCATGTGGAAATCTGTATACTATCCTGTCAGACAGTATTCAGAAAAGTTTTATGCTAAACTCCAGGTGGATATAAGAATCCTATTAGACCTCTTTGTTCATAAATACATACCTAAAGCTGAACACCAGGAAGATCTAAAATACACAAATTACAGCTGCACTCCAGCTATAAAAAATGTATATTGGCTCAGCTTGGAAAAATGTAAATATCATTTTTTTTATATATATATATACAGTACTGTGCAAAAGTTTAGGCAGGTATCCATTTACAATATGGAAAGTCAATGAACAGAAGAGAAATCCAAATTACATCAATATTTGGTGTGACAAAACCATCACTTCCAGGACTCTTTGCTCTTCTTTACGCTGAAAATAGTTCTTAATGTCATTGGCTGTTTGCTTTGGGGTTGTTGTCCTGCTGCAGAATAAATTTGGGGCTAATCACACACCTTCCTGATGCTATGGCCTGATGGAGAAGTATCTGCTTGTATTTCTCAGCATTGAGGACACCATTGATCCTGACTAAATCTCCAATTCCATTTGCAGAGATGCAGCCCCCGACTTGCAGGGAACCTCTACCATGCTTCACTGTTGCCCCGCAGACATTCATTATTGTACCTCTCTCCAACCCTTCGGCGAACAAACTGCCTCCTGCTACAGGCAAATATTTACATTTTTGATTCCTCAGTCCAGAGCACCTGCTGCTATATGCACCTCCCGTCCGCAGTGTGATCGCCCGCACTGGAACGCGCAGTTCTGAAATGCCCGCGTTCCAGTGCGATATCAAAAAATGTGTATACCGTTTTATTCTGAAGTAAACTTTGTCTGTAACTCTGCATTCGTGTATTTTGTTTTAAATAAATTACAGTAGGGCTGGGGAAATTAACGATGAATCCCTCGATTAATCGTTAAACTTTTTGATCGATTTAAAATTATTTTGATCGAAAATTAAAAGACTAACCTCTCCGCCGGCTTCTGGGAGTCCCGTCGGAGATCCAGTGACGTCACGATCGTTATAATTAATCGAAATTAATCGATTAAAAAAATTTCGATTAATCGAACCCAAAAATTTTAATCATTACCAGCCCTAAATTACAGTATAATTTTTATTTTATACGATTAAGCGAAGTTAATAATCGGCTAACTAATCGATGATGATATGAAAATAATCGTTAGCTGCAGCCCTAATCTCATCTGCTGCATTAAGTTTCCTTGGCCGACCACTGCATCTACGTTACTCAATGTTGCTCGTTTCTTTGTGCTTCTTCAAAAGCTCTTGAACAGCACATTTTTAAATCTTTTCCAGGGAGAGACCTTGCTGATGCAGTATAACTACCTTGTGTCTTGTTGCTGTGCTCAGTCTTGCCATGGTGTATGACCTGTGACATGAAGCTTTCTTCCACAACCTCACAGTAGTAGTAGTCCCTTGCCCAGTTTTAATCCTCCTACACTTCTGTTTCGGTTAATGACTGTTTCAACCTACCTATGAAATTGATGATCATTAGCACCTGCTTTGGTTAATCATACACCTGAGTCTAATCCTACAAAGTCCCTGATTTTGTGCACGTGTAAGAATTGATGCTGGTTTGAAGCCAAATGGTAGTCACACCAAATATTAAATGTATATTTTTCTTCTGTTCACTCACTTTGCAAATTAATAAAAATAAACAAAAATATATATTTTTTTGAAAGCATTTGTTATTTTACAGCATTTTCAAACCTGCCTGAGGGTTTTTTTTCCACCAGCCAGTCTCCTTGCGTGTGTCATTTTAAACAAAAGGTTGTTTTTTTTAATTATATTGGCTTAGTTTTACAATTCACATTATTTCAAGTCCATGAACCTAATTAAAATGTTAATAATGGGGAGGGGTGTGGCAATGCCATTTGTCAATGGCACTGCAGACATGCCTGCAGTGCGATTGGCCGCACAGGAATGCGTGGTAATAAAATGCCCTGCGCTCCAGTGCACTGCGATTCCCAAAAAACGTTCATCCACTATTTTTTTTTTTTTATCACAACGCACATTTTATTACATGTTCCTGTGAGGCTGATCGCACTGCGGGGGGCGTTTCTGCAGTGCCATTGACTTGAATAGCATGGCCACTCCCACCCCAGAACGTAAGGAGACTTTTTGTATGCGATCCCTTGCGTTCCTGGCACGGGATATTGCGGTAGAAGCGGGGGCTTGTGGAAACAATCGCTGAAACAATTTCCACAGTAGTGTGTGTGTGTATGTATATATGTATGTATATATACAGTGGGGCAAAAAAGTATTTAGTCAGCCACCAATTGTGCAAGTTCTCCCACTTAAAAAGATGAGAGTGACCTGTAATTGGCATCATAGGTAGACCTCAACTATGAGAGACAAAATGAGAAAACAAATCCAGACAAATCACATCGGCTGATTTGGAACAAATTTATTTGCAAATTATGGTGGAAAATAAGTATTTGGTCACCTACAAACAAGCAAGAGTTCTGGCTCTCACAGACCTGTACCTTCTTCTTTAAGAGGCTCCTCTGTCCTGCACTCATTACCTGTATCAATGGCACCTGTTTGAACTTGTTATCAGTATAAAAGACACCTGTCCACAACCTCAAACAGTCACACTCCAAACTCCACTATGGTGAAGACCAAAGAGCTGTCAAAGGACACCAGAAACAAAATTGTAGACCTGCACCA